GGATAGAAATGTTAAAAAGCCAGCACTTCTCTTTTTTCTTCCGTTTGATAAGTCTCTCTCTCTCTCCCTCTCTTTTCTCTCGTCCTTTTCAGATAGCAAAAGTACATTCGGATGAATGTTATGTCTGATGGGAAACGGTTTAAATCGAGAAACGAAACAATTCAATCAAATTTTCTTCTTTTTTTTCCATTTCAAGAGAACATCGATTGACAATTGTCTGATGAAAATCAACACGAATCATGCGTAGCAAATTAGACTGTTCTTTTAAGCTTTCTCATCATCTTCGTTACCAGTTTGAACTGTTGGAAAACACAAGTTAGCAATTCTAGTTCTGAGATCTGATTGTTGCTCTTCATCTTTTTGATTTTTTTTCGTTTTCCTCGGTAGTACAAGAGAAAGAGGTGAACGAACGGCCTGGGATGGGGGTCTCTTTTTTTTTCTCTCTCTTTCTCCCTCTCTGCCTCTCAATCATTCCCGTACAACAATTCAAATCTTCTCAGTTGTGTCAATGAAGAAGATCAAAAGGTATTTTCAATTAACTGATGGATTAGTTTGGAGAATTCCATATTGGTTTTGTGAACAAAAAAAAGATGCAAACTCTTGAAAACGTTCAATGATTTTGACTGAAAAAAACATGACCCCGGCTAAAAGTTTCTGAAATCGTCTGGTCATCGTTCAAACGAAAAAAAAGAGGGGAAGAGCTGAGATGTTTTTTGAGAAGATTTTCATCTTCTTTCACAGAGAGAAACTGTTTTTTTGAGGTCATTAGTACAAAAGAAGAAAAGATAAATTAAGTTAATGAATGACAAACTTAGTTTCTTAACAATAGTCCATAAAAAACGAGCGCGAGGTCTGAAAATTGGATGTTCCATCCAATTCAGAGGATTCTTTTCTTTTCTTTGGAACATCCGAAAAAAGCGGCAACAGCAATGAACTACGAGAGATTAGAATCTTAAGGACATGAAAATTCCTGAGAAAGTTTAGGGTGGCACACAAAAAAATGGCAAATCGGCAGAGAATAGATGTTCGGATTTGATATCAAAAGCTCCAAGTGTTCCGATTCTGGAGATTGCAAGACTCTCAACGAAACAAATAAGAGTTGTTTTAATCGTTTTTTTACCGTATGCGAACATGTTTGAATGGAACAGAAAAAGAGTGCAGTACACTTGAAAAGTAAGAAAATAAGAAAATTTTACCTTTGGTTGGGTACTCTGGAAACTTCGAGCAGCTTTTTCCGCAGCTCGTTTGACGGCTCCTTCCGGAAACGGACTTTCGGACAAAACATCTTTATCACTCTGACATGACGATGTCTGAAAAAACAAAAGTTTTGGAAGTTGATCAAAGGGGCTGTATACAGTGCTTGTGTCTTTTGCTTGTGATGAGGAAATATTAGTTTCCGTTTCATACATTTCTTCAGTTTCATTTTCGTTTTCACCTTCCATGTCAAGATCTCCTTCATCAGACTCTTCTTTTGATTCGGTCTGAAAATATCTTTTATCTTTTTTTCTGTTAAAATTGGAATGTTTTGTTTCTGTTTTGATGAAGATTAACAAGTTCAACGGGATTATAAGCTCTATATGACGATGAGAGAGAAAGATAGATGGAGAAAGAAAGGAGGGAGAGTATAGAAACCTGTTCTGCTTTACATGATTGCAACTCTTCCTACTAACAGCATAAGTTGTTGTTCCATTTGGAACATCAGGCTTGTCTAGCTAACCTGGTACTGATGCTGCTACTATATGCAACAAACAAAATGATTACAACCACATAATGGCCAAATATGGTGAAGTCACAAGTCCGGTCTGTATTTCGGTTGTCAAAAATATTTTTTTCCTCTTCTACAAACTCTCCCTCTTCTCAGTCTCTTCATGAGACATACAATAGGAAACCGTCTGATGGACTGACGGCGAACTGAAGACGAACAGAATTGCAAAAAGCAGGCTCTCCCGGTTTTCGTTCGTTGAGTCAAATTTCGAACTATTACCAGTACGGCTTGATTATTGTCTTTTTTCTCTATTTACCATCCAGTAATCTTTTTTTTGTTCATTCTGAGAGCTCAAAATACTTGGTGGAGCAAGTATGTTTGGCTGATTGCCAAGAGAAGCAAGGACATTTGCTCTGCTCAGTTATGAAGTTGATTCAAAAGAAGAACACGGTCGGCTAGAAAAAGAGACGTTGAGAGTGTCTCGTAGAAACGAGAAGAGAAGATAGTTAAGAAGAGAGAGAAGTTGAAGAGAAAGAAAGAGAGGCATCGAGCATTGAACAAGTCTTCTGCTGCCAAGACAAGATATGAGCACCTTCTCTCTCTTTTTCTTTTCCTCCCCTCTATCTCTCTCTCTCTCTCCCTCTTTCAGTTCCTTCAGCACGACGGTATGACAAAACAGATAAACGAACTGAACGAATGGACTGGCACTTGTCAATAGAAGACTAACAGAATTTAAAAAGCTGAATGGAAAAATTAAACTGAGCGATGATTTCATTTTTCAAATATTTTTCTTCCAAAAATTTGAAACAGGTTAACCATTCTGACAAGGTCTTTTAACAAGTCATCAGATAATTGAATATGAACCTGTTGAAGAAATAACGAGAAAGTTCATTGGCAAGACTGAAAAAAAAGTTTTTTTTAATTTTTTTTTTGCGTTCAAACAAAGTATCGCTGACTCGCAACAGTACGTCTTCATCAACAGAAACAGTTTGGAATCTTGAGCGAATACTTGATGGCAACATACATTCATTCACTTGTTGCGAAACGAAAGGTAAAAACCCAGACCAAAATCCAATACGGTTGTTGGATAGGATTGACCGAAGTAAACATGTACTTTCCTTTTTTCGTCAAAGGTTTCAATGCATTGGAATTCCAAATATAGAAAGTCAAAAGATTGCCTTAAGTTCGATTATTGATTGATCTCAAGAGAATGAGAGAAAAGAAGCAAAGTTTGGAGAAAAGAAAATTATAATCAACACTCTCGTTCAAAAGCTTTTATAATCTTTTAATTTTCATTATCAAATATAAGAATCCCACAGTTTCAGTTTTAAAAAAAAGAGAGTAGGGGGGGGGGTTGAGAAGATCCAAAAACGAACGCGTAAATGAATGACGTGAGCGCTTGATCTTCTAGGGCAGCAGGTCAAATGGGTTTCAAAGATTGCAAGAAATTACGTGGTTTATGACGAATTATCTCAAAATTACAGTTTGGTCTCACCTTAGGAGAAGCTGTTTTATCGGAAACTGATTGGCCAGCTACTGGACTCTGAGCTGCGGCATCAGAAATAATAGTTTGTGGAGGGGATGAAAATATAGAAGAAGGTATTCTGAAACTAATCGAGAGATCAAGAGTTAAGTAAAATGTAGGAAAAAACCTTTGATCTGGTAAACGAGTTGCTAATAGCTCCAAGACTACACTTAATTTAAGGTCAATATCATTCAACCGTAGATTCAAGTTATTGAGAGCTGCTTTCGAATCTGGGTCCAAAAATGATAAGCCTTGAAGTTGAGGCAATTGTGCCATGGTGGCCAGTAATGAATCCAGTTTGTCGGCTTAAAAGGTACAAAATGTGACAGACAAGCTATGAAATCGGAAAACAGAAGCGTCGTTGACCTTAGATGCTATTGAATCAGCTTTTGGCACTGTGTGTGGACAGGCTGAAAAGAAGCAAAAAAAATAGATTAAGAAGAAATGGAGAAAAAGCAAAAACATCAAGCAAATCTTCAGTATTCATAACATGAAAAGGTTGAACGCAATACAATTCATCTTAAAATCATTATATGAAAATGGACTAAAGGGTTTGAGAAGAGAAAAAAGGGAACAAGGAGACAATCTAATGAGACAATGATTATACTGAAGTCTAATGAAATAGAGAGAAAAGACAATGAATAGAGAGAAAAAAGAAGTTGTCAAAAAAACGGTAAAGAGGCGAAAGCTAGTCTCTCTTTTATTTCTCTCTCTTTCTTTCCTTCTCGCGTCTACTACTCCCCCTCCAGGCCTTCCCTGCCCACGGAGAGATGGGTTCGGCACAGGAGAAGGCGGAGTCAGGCGCGCCAAGGGTTCGAGACTGGCCACGCCCACTGTCGGTAGAGCGGGCCTGCGCGATGAACTCCTCCCCTAGGAGACGAAAGGAGCTCCATGACGTGAAGAGACGAAGACGAAGAACGAACGTCGCCAGAAGTAAAAACGAGGAGGGGCTAAAGGTGGTTGAAGATGACAGGCGGGGAGTAAAACGAGCGAGCGAAAGAAAGAACGAGAGAGAGAAAGAGAGAGAAAAAGAACGAAATGAACATGAAAATAATTTTTTGTTTTTTTTGTTCAAACTGTAAGTGAGAAAGAATAAATTAAATGAAATTTATTCGACACAAAACGTTATATGATTTCAGCAAAAATGTTTTGTGGAATCCAGTTTTCAAACTTTCAAAAATCAAATCATTTCAGAGCATTAAGAGGGTGAGAGGCCGAAGATGATCAATGAATATGGATATCAAGTCAGGTTTCGAGGAAAAGAAGAAGGGGCATTTCTTGTAAATTTATTCGTCTTGAAAAGAAAAATAAAAAGAAGACTTTTTTGTATTTCTTGAAAATGTTTAAATAATAAGAAAGAAAGCTGAGAGTAGTTTATGAACCAACTGGCTTATTTCTCCTGTTTATGTGTGGTGACACAGACACAAACGAATGCCATCAGATGACATACCAAGTATGGAAACGACGAACATAGAGAGGGATCAGTGCCTAAGTTTTGTTTCTTTAAATCTTTTTTTTGTTTCTTCAACCAACACAAACAAATATTTTTCTACAACCATTGTTTAGATTTTTAGTACTTTTGCCTTCCCTCTCCTAACTTTGGGATATTCTATGTTGTCATCAGCTTGTTCATTTTAAGAAATGAAAAGTAGCGCTTTACTCTTCACAAAGTAAACTCTAGTGATATTTATAATTTTGTTCAGCAAACAACATTATTAACATTATATTATAAGAAATATTATTTCTTGAAAGAACAACGCTTATTGTCAATTAGTTTGGTGGCGTACATTTGGAATCAGATGCACTGTACACTGTGAAAGAAAAACCTCCATAGACTTGGTTTGCGTTTGTGGTAAACCTAGAAAGAGCAGACCAGTAAAGACCATCCGGAGCAGAACTTGGTCTGGGAATGGCAAAGACTGATCCGGAAATATCTATTCCACTCAAACTTAAAATATCAGAGTTCGAAACGCTTTAGCAACGATCCATGTTACCTTACGAGCTCTTGTGTTCCGCTATAAAACCGAAGGAAATCTTTTTCAACTTCCAGTTCATAGAATGCTTTGAAGCATACGTAAGGATCCTGTAACGATGAATTTAACTATGTAAATTGAGTAGAGTTACCATAGTTGTGAAATTGTAAGTTGCATCGTAAAAGTTACAGTATCGGAATTTTTGAGGATCCGTGTTCCATGTCGTTGGAGAATCATTGCCATCCTTAACTCCAGTATATCCACTAGGTATATTATAAGTTAAAGATTGAGGTCCAGTGGTAGGTGGTAGCATAACGGGATTGAATGATAAATATGGATCGGGACAAACTGAAAGTAAAAAATAGTTTGATTAGTTCGAGAAACTCATACGCTTGGTTCCGATATCAATGGAGTTAGCGAGAACTGTGTTGATAGAATCTATAGTGGTATCTGTTATAGGAATGGTAACATACTTCTTAGACAAAGCCGTATAGAAATTAGAAGAGGTATCACCCTGGAACTTCTGTTTTTATTCAGATTCGAAGGTTTTTTTACCCCATATAAAATAAAAACAGGAACCACATCGGTAGCATCAAAAGCGGTCTGGAGACTATCAAAGTTATCGAGCAAGAAAACGTCGGCATCGGCTGGTCTTAAACGAAAAGTTTGATTCGAAACAAAAGCAGAGTACTCACGGGTCAGAAAACACTATCATTAGAATTCTTTGAGCATGAGGTCTAGAAGGAGTCGATCCTGCTTTATCAATACTAAAGAGATGTTGAGCTATTCCTTTCAAACTACTAAACACGAAAAACAATTCTAAAAATATCATATCGCATAAGTACCTTGCCCAGTATGACTGGGCTGGAAATGCAGATACTCCTGCCAAGCCTTGGGTTGTCACTTGACTAGTACTGGTCATTGCCCAGGTCTGAATAAATACAAGTTGTTTGGTGGAGCTGAATGAATACCGGTCCATATGGTCCATACGAACCAGCCATCGGGTTCAAAGATGTTATAGCTACACGAGATTGATAGGTATTGCTAGGATCGTCAGTTAAGCTGAGTGAACGCAAAAGCGTGGATACAAATCGTTTTCTCTATAATAAGTTATAAGCTTCGAATATCTTACACAATACCTGTTCCAGGAAACCTCCAGCTCCGGCGAAAGAATCGATAGCAAAAGCAATATCTGCAGCAATGAGAGCTGGATTATTGATAACCCCTCCTACAGTTTTATAAGGAAGCCTAAAAACAGAGAGTTAACTTGAAAAAAAAAGCGTTTTTTACGTGCTGGAAATAACAGGAGCAGCTGTAGTTGCGATGAGCTGTCCAATGGGCTTGGCTGTCATAGTTGCCAAGAATTGTACCGAGTCGTTGTCTTAAAAAAAAAGAAGATGTCCCCAGTACTATACAGCTTATACCTGTTGTGAGAGTGACTGTGATATTACTAGATGTCGTAACATATTTCAAAAAGTTGTTATAGGCAGGATCGGCTTTACCAGAGAATCTTAATAAACGTTTAAAATGAATCTCGTAGAAAGAGGCTACTTGTGTGTTCCTTGTGAGTCAATCACAGTTACAGTCCAACCCGTAGCACTTGTAGTGTCCGACAGAGTAAAATCCTTTAATCTTAGTTGAATTTCAGAAAAAAAATTATAACCTTACACCGAATCCCAGAGTGGAATTATTTGAATAAAGGTGGAGCGTACAAGTACCGGCTTCAGGTGAAGAAGTCGTTTCATTATAAGGATTTATAATATAAACAGTTGGCCAGGTATATGGGTCGTACGTTTGAGTTTCATAATAACATGTACTCTGAGCACCTTAAAAGTATGATATTCAAGATGAAATGAAGTTTCAGGTATACCAGTGAAAAGTAGTAGAAAAGCTACAGCTCGTAGCAACATTACTGAAATGAGAATCAGTTGAAAGAAGAATAAAGAGAGCGGAGCTTAAAAACGATATAAAAATAAGGAATGTGCACGAATGATTCAGATGTACTGAGAGAGACAATGAAGTCTACTGCTGGGCGCGGTTCCCTCGGCTTGCTTCATATCATAATTTTTATCAATTTTATCATTTACTTTTGATTATTAATTACTTTAATCTTATTTCACCTATTTTTCAACTTCACAATTGCTCATCACTTAGCAATAGGTTTTATGTTTTGTCTTCAAACGGTTCAAAATGATTTTTATTGATCGAAATCGAGCACAACTTCATGAAGCTTATAAGTTCTTCCAATTCTCTCTCGAATTCCTTATCGAAATTTCGGATTTACAACCTTGTTCCCATGTGCGACTGTTGAAGTTTCTATGTGATGTGATGGAGTACCTTCCATTTGACCCACGATACTTACTGAATATAGTCATATTTGAAACATGAATGCTCTTTTGCCACGGTTTACCTGCTTTGGAAGGAACAACAACGTTTATTATTACGTTTCGCGAGCTACTTTTAGTTGTGAACATATCAGATGAGGTGCTGGTAGTTCCATCAACACTGGAGAAGCGTTTATAGAGAAAAAAAAAGATAAACTGACTGAGTGAACAAAGGACTTCCATCTGAATTGAAAACATTGATGTAAGCGTCCTCTAAGCTGTCGGTTTTAACAAACTGTTGGATTTGGAAATGCTGAGCCAGATATTATGAGAAGTTAATTCAGCATCTCTCATACCCACAGAGTTCTAAGATCAGACCCTGAATCAGCGAAAATAGTGCAGTTTCCTGCTACTGGATTGCCCTCGTCATCGAAGGGATTCAAAATGTAGATAAGAGGCCATGTAGCTTCATCGTATGTTTGGTTTGTATAAAAGCATTTGGATGAAACAGCTGGAACGAGTGTTGTTTCATAAAACATAATCATAAAATTATTTTTGTTAACAAGGAGAAGAAACAAAATGTTCAAAAAGCATTTCCTTTCCTACCTGCAGATTGTTTCAGCCGAAGATATTAAAAACATTTTTTTCGGACATCTGGCCTACCTGGTAGAATGAACACTGCCAAATGTAAAGAAAACAAAAGAGAAGACATAATAAACCTTTTTTTCTGAAAATACCATTTATACTTTTGAAATTAAGAATATTATAAAAACAGGCAAAGAGATCTATTCTTGGATTTTCAGAGTGAGTTTTCTAGCTGTCTCTGTTTTAAACTGTGAATATAACAATCATGAGGAGGAATATTTCCTTATCGTTCACAGGATTAAAGAAATGAGTTTGGAAGATATGGCAAACAGGACCTTTCACCAAATTTCTGATTTGATAAAATAACGTTAGGATAGCAATATCTCGAATAGAGCTTTGGAAAGTAATGAAGAATTTCATTCAATAATAAACAAAACATTGAAATTGGAATATTTTATTAGGATATAACATCAGTCTAAGAACCCGTTTGTTGTTTTTTAAGCACATATCCTTATTGAGATGTGTTATTGATCAATGAGTCTTTTGATATCACATTAGCGCATTGAGGACATTGATGTCTTGGAGGCATCAGATGACACATTCGCGGCACCACAACTGTCATTATCCTCATCTTAATTTTGAAACTTAAGTTGTTCATTAGATATTTTCGCCTTACATGGCATTTTGGGCAAATCACTTGAATGGAACTCTTTCCTAAACGAATTGTGGGCTGATTTATCATAACCGGCTTACAGTCAATGGTGTCTCCCAACATCTATAAAGTATTGATTTTTAAAGAATGAAATTTGAAAGAAAATGCTGAGAAGAAGCTTCCAATTTCTTATCAGTGACTAGTATTGCTTATCATAAACCATTCGGAAAAGAATTTTTTTAGGAAGAGAGACAGATAGAGAGAGAGGGAGAGAGGGGAAGGGGGTTGGGATAGAAAGAGAGTAGGAGGAATCCAAAAAATCAATCGGAGTTCTTGTAGCTTATATCTCTCAAAAACTGGAAAGAATGTTTGTCTTTGTTTTTTTTTAACAAAACGATCATATAACATTGATGACGTCAATAAGTTGATGTGTCAAATATAAAAATATAAAGTTAACTATTCAAACCATTCTACAACTGTGCAATCAAAACGTTTGCCCATAAAACATCCCTTCCAACTAGTTTTTCTACTTTTTTTCTAACAAATATTCAAATGATCTAACATTAAATCGATTATTGTTTATGAGGTTTCTGTTTATATAGCTGTAATTCTACACAAATTCATCTGATTTCATGTTAATTAGAACAATATAGCGATGAACCTCCTTCAATCCACGTGCGCTTCCATTTCTTCTTCATTTGGCGCAAGATGCGGTTGCATTCTGTGAGTTTTTTTTATTTTTTTTTCTTGGACGTACTCATTCCACTTAGTTACTTTTGAAAATCTTTTTGACCTAAACTTCATCGATTGATTTTCTACGACCTATATTATCCTCAACGATCATTTCTTGTCCAATTGATTACTTGTAAGGTTATGTACTCTCTCCCAAACTTCTGTTTTCGAGAAGACGTATTTTCACATTTGGTGTTTAGAATTTCTCTTTAAATTTTGCTTATTGACTGATATGCATTGTTTATAACGCAATACACAAGTGTTTTGCAATCTGGAAGAGTTTTCAATCGAGAGTTTTGACGAGAAAAAGAATTTGTTTTGATCTATTTGAATGTTCATCCTCATTTAGTTATATCCCAATGGAAAGAAGTACTTTAAAAGGGCTACAGCTTGATAGATGTTTGTAAGAAAAACAAGCTTTTTGGACTAAATTCCGGCTGTTGTCCGGTCTTTCGCCTTATTTTGGACAAATTTTGTAATAATCCTAGTCGACGAAGTGATAAAACCTTATGTTCTTCGATGATTGCGAGGAAGAAATTGTTTATTTTTGTCCCCATCCCTCCCTTCGTTTCCTTTTCGCTCTCTTTCCCTCTCCCTCCTACTTCACATGTTTCAATTCTCTTTTATTCATAATCTTTCATTCTCTTCAGTTTGTCCTCTTTCCTCTCTTTTTCGTTCTATTTTTCTATTGTTCTGTTTTACCCGCAGGGTTTCCAAATAAGGAAAGATGCAAAGCAACTGACTGGACCGCCTATGTCATTCCTCAACCAGCTTGTACAGTCAGCCAGTTGAAAGGGGTCATTCAAGCACTCAAGTTGCACATCGATCAGGTGACCTCTGACAGCTGGTACTCATAAGCTTTTCCCCCTTATAAATGCGAATATTTTTGTTTTTGTGACCATATGCTTACAAAAAATAGCCACTACTCAAACTTGGCAATATTTTCTCCCTTCGTCTCGCAGCTGAATCGATTTCTTACATTCCTGGATTTCATTGGATTGCACGAGATTTGCTAGTTACCTTGACAGCTATTTGAGAATAACAGCTGATCGTCCTCGAATATGACCCGCGAGAGAGATGGAGGTCACTTTTTTTGTGATCATTTACCTCTTCTCAATGAAAAAAGTATAACCTTAGTTGGAGAGATCCTTTTTCATAGACAAATATAGAATAAATCCCTCGCTCTTATTCATTGTTTGGATATTCTATCATTCCACATTTCTTTCTCTTTCGAGCTTTTTCAGAGATAGAACTGTTCTTCCCTTAAAAAGTTAACAACAAAATTGTTACGAAACATCTGGCTTCTCCTCCCTCTTAGTCATTCCTTTGTATTTTCTTTTCCGTCTGGTTTTCTTTCGCACAAAATCCTACACTTAGTCTTTCATAATCGCCCATTTGTTTCTGATTTTGAGGTATTTTTGGAAGAATATTTATGAAAAAGTTCATATGTACTGTTTTTCTTTTAATTCGATGTTCGATTCTCGATTGAAGTTAGAGAAGATGAACCTGTGCGTCGAAAAGGGTAAACAGTCGATTCATCGTCTCCATAAAAGTCACTCACATGACTTTACCTTACTAGGGTTCTGTGTCATTTGAATATGACTTTATCATTTTTCCATTTATCTACACGAACGATATTATCTCTCTCCACCCACTCTCTCACTATCATCCTAACCTTTGCGTTTCAAAAAAAGAGGAGAATTGTTGTTATCGTTTTTTTGTGAGTCAGAACAATTTTATTATTAATAACCTTGCCGATCCAACTGTTTCCATAAAAGTGATTGTTTTCCAAATCATATGTTCAATCGTAATCAGCTGCTGACGAGCCAAGAGAGGGAGGAGCTAGAGAGAAGGCGAAATATAAAAGTTTTTTCTTCTATCGATGAGTTATAACGATTATTAATGTTTTTGATGTGTTTTGTAGAAGAAAATTATTCTATCATTTCCTCTTCAGGTTGAATAATGTCTGCTTCCATTGCTGATCTACCAAAAATCCCAGTCGATATTGCTGAGGCGGTGACCGGAAAAGTCGAACTTCGCAAAGTTGAGACCCAGGAGAAGAACGTTTTGCCTACTAAAGAAGGTAATACTACTTTCTCATACTATTTTTCTGCCTGTCTCTCTCTCTCTATCTCTCTCTTTCCCCCTCTCTCTTTCTCTCTTTGCTATGATGAAATAATACATTTCAGATGTTGTTCAAGAACGCCAACACGTGGAAATGATGAATGGCATTGAAAACTTCTCAGCCAACCAATTGAACAAAACTGAAACCCAGGAGAAAGTTGTTCTACCATCTTCTGATGGTGAGAATAGAAGAAAAGCATTAAATATTTTCAAAACAATACTTTTAGACATAAAGGCGGAGAAAACTCATCAAGAACTCACTCAAGGTATTGAGTCTTTCTCTCCTGAAAAGCTAAAGCATACAGAAACTTCTGAAAGAGTCGTTTTGCCTTCCAAAGAAGGTTTGTTTATTTATTTATTTTTTTCCTTTCCTATCCTCTCTCTCCCAGTCGCTTGATAGATAATCACTTTCTTAGCTTTTCCGATGAATGAGTTTTATAGTTTGTGTATTTACAGATTTGGCTCGTGAAAAGACTATGGACTTGGCTGCTCAATTCGATCATAACAAGCTTCGACATGTTGAGCCAACCATTAAGAACACCATTGAGGGTTTGTTTCTCTTTTTTTGTGTTTAGAAGAGAGTTTGAAAAAGAAAACAAAAATATTCTTCGGTTTCACAAAAGCGAATAAGTAAAGGATGAGAGGGAGAGAGAAAGAAAAGAACAACCGGTCACGCGAACTGCTAGCGCAGAAATGCACTTGGGTTTCACGTACACTTAGCTTCCACGTAAAACATGAATTTTCAGTTATCGAGCAGTGAAAAGTTACGGACGTGCATGTGTAATTTCATTTTTAATTCATTAATTTAACGTTTTACCCTTCACTTGTATATTCTGTGATTACTGTGAGATAAGCATAAATATTTGAGTAAAACTACTTTATTACCTAATTAAGTACCAAAGCTAATCGGTCATGATGTGATAAATCGTTCTGTCGTTTATTTCCTGAGTTGGTCTGAAGTTTTTAACCAAAGGTCTCTGATGAGCATCTCGGATTTGACGGAATAGTTCAAGCTATCAAAGTGATATCTTTTTATACTTTGTTGAATGTATTTACCTGTTCATGAGTAATGCTGACCGGCTCTTGGAAGATTGTCCAGGTCACACACTCCGAGCAAGGTGGAGTAGTTAAAGAACCTTCATAACGGAAAAAGGACCGTTTGTTTTGTGGAAGTTTCTTGCTCAAAACGATGTTGTCAATCTTTTTGAAGGATCCTGCGAGTTCCATAATGATAAGAACGTTGATAAAAAACGGCTTACTTGGCTTTTGAAGGTTGTGTATGACTTCTTCCTCTTGTTCGAGGGCTCTACCATCGTCTCCCAATTGAAGGAATACTCCAAGAACTGCTAGTTTGCTCGGATCCTCAGTTCCTTGATGAACAAGGTGCAGCTCCGCAGGATAAGACGCTCCGCTGATAGTATGTTCCGATCCTCAAATTTAACGTTCCCAACATTCTCTCCTCAAGCTATACCTTCGCATTCGTGCGATCCCCAATGGAAATGATACTGAATAAGACGATAGACTTGGTCCAAGCCACCTCCATAAATCTCTGGTGCTTCTTTACGACGGTCAGGGATTACTTGAACTAAAAATAATTTAAAAATAGAAAAATAAGGAGTGGAAATGTCAATTTCACTCGAATGTCCATTGTTGACTATATCACCATGAATTGGTCGATCATAGTTGATGTATTTGATGCTGTTATATGTCTCAAATTGTTCAATGTGGGAGGAATTGATGTCAATAGGTGATTGATGGTAACCAGTTGGCCAGAAAGCTGGGCCTTCAATAAAAAAAATAAATAATTCACGCTTGTTTATTGAAGAACAGTAAACCTCCTTCTTCATGATCGTCATAGCTCCAATGTCCTGTAAAATTTCTTTTCAGCTATTTAAAATAAAAAATATTTCAAACTGTACCTGTCATAGCTTGGAAACGGTTAGAGACAGACACTTGATAACGAAAGCTTCCACCTAAATTCCGATATTGTAAACTTTCGTTTTAATAAAAATTGATAAGAAATGAAAGTTTTATATCGAATGATAATGTTTTATTTTGAAACTTCTTCATTTAACAACACAAAAAGAGTCTGACCGACCATTTTATTTATTCAATACGGATTTAATAGTCTTTGAGTGGGAAATTTTTCAACTCCTAAACAAACACTGTTCCACTGTTCGGCTTTCTATATGGAACAATGAATGAAAATGCCAAAAAGATTTGGGTGGTCTAGTGACGTCACACAGCTTTGATAATTCATGTCGTTTCACACCTTTGTACACATTTTAGCTTCTCATTCTTTAGGAGGACGTCATATAGCTGTTAATAGTTTTTGACACAACCGCTCACATCTGACATGATTTTGAAATGAATATTAGAAGTACTCATGTCCACGTGGCTCCGTGTGAGTGAGACGGCGCGAAATTCGAACAGTTGAAATATTGTCTCGTGAGAGTTTGCAAAGAAAACCATGGAAATGAATTCTAACAAAAAAATTTTATTGAAAAATTATGAGATGGCTGACGATGGATAAACAATTAGTTTGGAATTTAGAGATCATTAGGTTTTTTGGTTGGCTTCTCCCTTTCTATGCTGAGCGTCGTCCACGCGAAGGGAAATATCCGTATCTGAAGTAAGATCATTCGTCGACGGTAAATTAAAAAAGTTAAACCTTTTATCTTGTTCCGTTTTAAGTAACATTCTTTTTCCACGTGATGGATGGAATGAATAAGCACGTTTGTAAGCCATAAATTCGTCATCCAAGTATGGCTCATCATAGAGGGCTTGTTGCTGGAAAGACAAATCACTCTAGATTAATTGAATGAATTTGTCTTTGTTAAGCTTTTTGAAACAAATTTTTTGATTGTCACAGTATAAAAAGAAAAATGAAGCAGAAAAAAAGATTGTAAAGTTCAATGAACATAAAAGAAAATTACCCTGTGCTCTTCGTGGAACTGTGCGGAAACAATTAGAACCAATGCTGCTAAGCAAAGGCAAAGGGCCAAGGGTCGGGAAGACATTTTCTACCTTAAAATACATATAATCATCAAAATATAATTGATATGAGTGTGTGATATTAGTTATTGAGAGGTGGTTTGTGAAATGGGAAAACCTTAGCTCAACTGGGACTCCCAGCTGAGAAGATTAGGCGGTCCGAATCAAAGTTCAGAGGAAAGAAAGAAAGAGAGGGAGGGAGAGAAGAAAGGAGAAAGAGAGAAAAAGAGAAAAAAAAGAGAACATTATGATCTTATAAAAGACATTGTTAAAGCTTCACTCTATAGAGGGAATTTACTAGAGAAGGAGATCTTTAAACGAACTGCTCGGGGTTAAGCTACCCCACAACAGACCGATTTTTAAAGTTTGCTTTCTGTAAAAGGCAACATGAGGGGGAAGAAAAATATAATTTTCTTAAACTGTTCATCCCACAGAAGTATCAATCGTGATGAATGCAATTAGTTATTCAAAAACAAAGAGAAGGTTCTAATGAGCTTTCAAAAATGAAGAAAACGCTATTCCCAGATGATATCTCGTGTGTTGTTTCATCTATTTGAAGAAGATTCTATATAAGGCTGAACTTACTCTATACCAGACATTATCCATTCAAGGAAACAGACTATGTAAAGAAACTAATTTGAATAATTTTTTATTTGAAAAACACGAAAAGACAAAGATGAAGCTTAGAAAGTTTCAGGATTTCTGAAGCGGAAAGCTCGAGAACAAACAAGGTTGAATACGTAATTTAATGGAAAGGAGAAGCTTTACATCAATGGATCTTCCTTGTACTCAATTATTGAAATTTTAGGACTTAAATGGCAGCAAATTAACTTTTCCGTCATTTTAAATAATTATCTTTAAATTATGAAAAAGAAATATATAGAAGAATAGTGAAGGAGAGGAGAATGATGTGGGTGAGAAGGGTCGTGTAGCAGAGAGAACGAGGGATAGCAGAAAGGAAAGGAAGAAGGGAATGAAAAATGAAAGAAGGTAGGGGTGGGGAGGAAATGATGAGTGTTTTGATGCTTCTCTTTACTTTTTCAATGACTTTGAAAAAAAACCTTCCGTAAGACTCAGTTTCAAAAATAAGTTCGACGGAAAGGGTGGAGGGAAGAGCGGTAAGAATGAAGTGAAATTGTTGCCATTTGAGTGAAATGTTTAGTTCATTTGGATGAATTGATGAATAACTGGAAATGATCCGAATAATTCTATAAATAGAACCTAAGCTGCATATATCGGAAGGTAGGAGGTTGAACAGGAGCGGAGTAGAAAACAACTGGAGAGTAGCAGATTAAAAGAAATAAAAAAGCTTGTTCCATCCAAGAAATCATAATGAAAAATATAATAATTCTGAATTTTGCATGACTTCAACACGTTATGACAGTCTTCAAGAACAAGAACAGCCGATCTGTCTTGCTAAACATGGTTTATGAGAAAAAATTAAACTTTTTCGCTTTTTTCGGTTGTGAAAGGTTGTGAAAAGAAGGCTGTTAGGCTTGTAAGCTGGCTTTTCGAAACCTTATTGACGATAAGTATCACAAGTGCAATAAGAGTTTTAACATCTCTATGATATAGAAAAGGTGGGAATGCTCTTAACGGTTTTCGATCCCGACTGGTTTAGTTCATGCTTACAATGGTAGAGTTGGCATAGAAGCTTCGATACCAACGAAAGGAAGTCACAAAATGAGGAAAAAAAAAGCATTGGAAAACGGAATGAGATGGAGAAGACGATTTTAATGGAGTTTGTGAACCTCCTTAGATTGTAGTGAAGCTTATTGTGTAATCATTTGCCAATCTTGTCTGAATTAAATATTTGCAGAAGGCTAACAAGCAAATTTCCCAGAAGACTGATATCATCAAGTTTCCAGGTTTCAAATAAAAGAAAAGGAAATGGATGGAATCTCGAGACTATCGACTAGCAGAAAGTAGACATTTCGCTTTATATATTCGAATTATTCGGTGAAAATTTGAAGTTGAATGGAACGTTTCGATGGAAAATGACGTCGAAGCTTAGTGAAAGCATGTGAGGATTCAGTGGAGAGACGATTCAGATGACAAAATTTCTGAAGAGCCGTGTCACACGATTGACAGCAACGATAAAGGAAAAGCTCAAGGAATGATCATTACCTCGCTTGGGCGGTTCAGAAGATGACTAAGAAGGAAGTTGATTTTCACTTCACGAGTTGATTGACGAAACGTTTTTCAATAAACAAAGAGAAACATAAAAAACGATATTAAGGTATAAAAGTTCGAAAAGATGAAAAACCTTTCGAGATAAATGGAATTTTACGTGTTTCCTCAATTGCTTTCAACTAGATTGCAAGTTTTCCGCAGATTATGGTCTCAGCACGGAATGGACACGTCTCATAAAATTTTGAGAGTTTGCTTCTGAACGTAAAGGTTCCGTTGATCTCACCTTCTGTTAATTTTCAGTTCGGATTAGAGGGATTAGACAAGAAATTTAATAGGTGAAAAGAAAAATGATGTTTATTCAAATTCATGACAGTTAGTTAAATGACCTTTTTCGGCTAATGACATGTGAAAGGACTTTACATAATAATAGAACGTCCTTAGCAGATCTTTATGTTTTTAACGAAATTATTAAAATACAAAATAAATTATTCAAATGTGTGTGGGTCATCCATCTTGCTTCATCAAAATCTTTTAAGAACTCAAAAATCTTTGTTTTAATTCACCTTCATCTGAACAGAAATTTATTCTCTTCTGACAGCAAGAGAATTTTTCAAAGTAAAATTCAGTTTCGGCTTTACATCTTCACCTCCGTTCAACTTCTTGGCTAGGATTTTGTTAAACGAAGAGGAAGACAATAGCCATTCAGCTATCTATATAAGAAGAAAATACTCTAAAAAAATACTTTTCGTAGCTTTTAAGAACGATTTTCACTTCTCACTCGGAAGAAACAAGCAGTGCAAATTGAAATGGAGAAATTAGGATGTTTGACGTCCACCAACTTATGCAAATTAGGAAATATGAAAGTGAAATAAACATAAAAAGCTTTCGCTGCTCACAACAGAGTATAATATATGAAGTTTAAATGAGAAAAAAAACATTTTTTTTTCAAAAAGTTTTTTTTAGAAGGTGGAGGCGATAAGTTGGATGTGTGAGGGAGAGGAGTATGATTCTTATTTTAAATTGTCAATTCATAGAAAATCATATAAGCCCATTGAGCAGAGAACTAAGTATGTTGTTCGAGACAAGCTGATTAGTATTTTATTCGAAAAGGATGAATGTCCATTTGTCATTTACAGCAGCCGAAAGGAGAAAACAGTTGAAGAATATGGAAAATGATGTTGAAAAATCTTTGAACTTAATCGGAAATATCAGAATGTCTTCGTTAATGGAAAAGGAAATTGAAAAGGAACAACAGTTCTGTTTGTTTTGTGTTTTGAACTGTTGGGCAACTTTGACATTCATTTTCTTCTCCATCTTATTAACTATATGGAAAGAAAATATTTTTTTCTATTCTAATGAGTTAGATGGAGGCTGAATGACGTAAACCATAATCAGATGGGAGAATCTCGAATGACCCAATCATAAGTTCTGGTGGTTATTAACCTGGTCGTTTTCAAACAATTTTCTAAGGCGTTCTAGAACATAAATGGTCTTTTCAGAAAGGTTTTGCAAACTAATAGCCGCTTTGTAGGGATTGTAGAATTAGAAAAGGTGTTCTCTTCAGAACATCATTAGTTGGAGTACTTAAGAAGAATAAAAGTTTTGAAATAATATAGTTCAAGGGACAGACGATGACAGGAGCATCAACAACAACCGATTCTGAAGCTTTAAAGTTCGAAAATGATATTTATAGTTTTCACGTATCTCACGCGAATACAAGATACGCACGTGGGCTAGAGTTTTCACGCTTAATAGTTTTCACGTGTTAAAATGAAAGATGGCAACGATGAAATTCGTTT